ATAAAGGTAAGCTTGCTACTTGCTCAATTAGTCCCAATGGCGATCTTGAATACCCTGTGTGTACACCGAAGTTTGGAAAACGGCATTCAGCGATCACATTCACTATTGGACGTACCGAAGTTGAAGTTAAAAGGTATATACCGGTCATTCGTAACTACATATGGTAGATGGTTAAGCCCTAGAATAAGAGGACCACACGCGTTCTCAAACTTGCACCCGTGGATACAACCGTAGAAAAAATACATTAACTGAGTAGGTAATTTGTGTCAAATTCTCTCATTGAGAGCTCCAGCTTCCAGCTACCGATACCATGTAGAAGCTATTCCCATGCTTACTACTACCACCCAACTTCATCGTTTCATTGGTATCATCAACTATTATCGGCGATTCATCCATCATTATGCAGGTATTTTACCGTCACTAACTGACTTACTTGACTCAAAAGGAAAATCTGTCAACTTGCCTCCCATCACTGAAGTTGCCCCTGTCACCCTTGTGGTTGGACTACACCAAAGCCAACTTAGACAAGCGAACAAAACACATGCACCTACCCACTGCTCCCAGGAGTCCGTATGCACAATGAGGAAAATATGTATAGAGAGGTCCCTGTCCCTTTTCTATCAGCATTCAAGACTAGTGCCTAAAAACTTTTTACTTGCCATGCACCACTTGTTCACTTGAAGCTGATACAATGCCTCGATCAACTATTATCGGCGATTCATCCATCATTATGCAGGTATTTTACCGTCACTAACTGACTTACTTGACTCAAAAGGAAAATCTGTCAACTTGCCTCCCATCACTGAAGTTGCCCCTGTCACACTTGTGGTTGGACTACACCAAAGCCAACTTAGACAAGCAAACAAAACACATGCACCTACCCACTGCTCCCAGGAGTCCGTATGCACAATGAGGAAAATATGTATAGAGAGGTCCCTGTCCCTTTTCTATCAGCATTCAAGACTAGTGCCTAAAAACTTTTTACTTGCCATGCACCACTTGTTCACTTGAAGCTGATAGCAATGCCTCGGGGGCTGTCCAACTCATGTAATAAATACCAGGTCAACCAGTCATTACGGATGTTTACTCTTGCCATCTGATTTCACTAAACTTACCACAAGTCTGTGTGCTTATATCGGCTTCTACTAGATTCCTTGTACTTTAATATCGTATGTTAGCAAACCCAACCCTTGGCCACTTGTCTATTAGGTGCAAATCCATTTAAATCACACTCCATATAATCACTTCTCATCACCCTAATCGCTGTAGAACTACAGTGTTTCTTCTTATGTTTAGTAATGCACATTATCCCACTTTATGTCTCCTCAAACTGACCACACTTTAGTAATCCCATCCCACCCCCAAATCTTCCCAGGCTTTGAACTTCGGCAATACTCGGTTTGGATGAACTGGTTGGCTGTTATCCATTCCACCTGGCCCATAATCTACAACCACCTGGTCCCCAAACGGACCAAAAAACCCCGCGATCCTATGTCAGTTTTGTTCCACCTTGTTTCCTCGGCCAGCCTGGCTTGGACCCCGCCGCTCAAAGAGCCGCACATCCCCGCCTAATCGCCTTAAGTGTGACGTCCGTTACGGGGCTGTCCAAAAACCGAAGCACGTCAGGCCAATGATGGCACGGCACTGCCGTACCCAGTTTGATAGCACACCCGCAACTATTCCATTCCTTCTCTCGACCGTTCCCTATCGCCCACTCGTTCACACCTGACCCCAGCTGCCTCCACTACATATTCATTCCAACCTGCTGAACTTTTCGTTCCAATTTAACCACTGCTTTGCCTGTGTTTCCCACAAAATTCAATAACTTCCTATACAGTTCGTGTTCCGGCTCGCGTTTTGCATTAATGTCACTCTACCAACGAACCATTACGCCTGACTGCAAAACAGCGACACCAGTGAGTCTCTACAGTTTCGCTGTGCACCATGTTTCCGTGATTCCCATTAACGATTACTCGCTTCGCTAATCCCTGCACTTCGTCATCCCCACTTACACATTTTGTGACCCTGGCCGTGAGCCCAACAGTCCAAGGCCACGAGGCCTTGGCGGTGGTTTTTTGTTTTAGTTCAACATGAACGGCTGGATGACGCCAACTCTGCTGTCTCACCTGATGTTTTCAGCGTTACCTTTCCTTACCGTAAGTCCGGCAGGAAGCCGCTTGTTTTGCCCTCTTTCGCTTTGTTTTTGCCCGATACCTTCAAATCCTAACTATCAGGTATTGCTCGATATTCTCTCTAGTAACGCATGGTAACTGCTTTCCCGAACATGCCGGTTTAGTAGTGATCACGACCACATAGGATAATGTCCATTCCCTATAATGCCGTCCCTTGTCCTTACTCCCTGTGCCCAAAATCCCCGCCAGTCACGCTTTTACACCGACTGGAACATTATTGTGTTACCTGATGGTATGCCACCACATGTTGGGAAAAAATTATTATTATTATTAATCAACATCTTCGAAATCTTGGCCATCTTTCATAATCACCCCATACTCGACCTCCTTAACATACTCATCGCTTCTTTCTAGGAAACTACTCAACTAACGTGATTTCGATTGTGAGCTTATATATATATATAAGACAAGCAGAATGTTGAAAGCTGTTCACTACTTAGGGCTACCCTGATGCGCTATTCTATGTCTATCATCTTATGGGTTTCGACCCCATTCATGTTGAAGTATTGCAACCCATCTTCACTTCCGCAAACATGTCTAAAACACCCCAGAAGGTGATCTACTTTGGCTCTCGGACCTGATGTGTTCTAGCTGCCAGTAATAGTGATGAAGATCCAGCTGAGGGCCGCAACGCTTACTGAATTTGATTGCCCAGGAACAAATATCCTTCAACCCATATCCAAGTAACATACACCACCACAGGGCCACTAATCCCGCTTTTTGCTGAACTTTTCGTTCCAATTTAACCACTGCTTTGCCTGTGTTTCCCACAAAATTCAATAACTTCCTATACAGTTCGTGTTCCGGCTCGCGTTTTGCATTAATGTCACTCTACCAACGAACCATTACGCCTGACTGCAAAACAGCGACACCAGTGAGTCTCTACAGTTTCGCTGTGCACCATGTTTCCGTGATTCCCATTAACGATTACTCGCTTCGCTAATCCCTGCACTTCGTCATCCCCACTTACACATTTTGTGACCCTGGCCGTGAGCCCAACAGTCCAAGGCCACGAGGCCTTGGCGGTGGTTTTTTGTTTTAGTTCAACATGAACGGCTGGATGACGCCAACTCTGCTGTCTCACCTGATGTTTTCAGCGTTACCTTTCCTTACCGTAAGTCCGGCAGGAAGCCGCTTGTTTTGCCCTCTTTCGCTTTGTTTTTGCCCGATACCTTCAAATCCTAACTATCAGGTATTGCTCGATATTCTCTCTAGTAACGCATGGTAACTGCTTTCCCGAACATGCCGGTTTAGTAGTGATCACGACCACATAGGATAATGTCCATTCCCTATAATGCCGTCCCTTGTCCTTACTCCCTGTGCCCAAAATCCCCGCCAGTCACGCTTTTACACCGACTGGAACATTATTGTGTTACCTGATGGTATGCCACCACATGTTGGGAAAAAATTATTATTATTATTAATCAACATCTTCGAAATCTTGGCCATCTTTCATAATCACCCCATACTCGACCTCCTTAACATACTCATCGCTTCTTTCTAGGAAACTACTCAACTAACGTGATTTCGATTGTGAGCTTATATATATATATAAGACAAGCAGAATGTTGAAAGCTGTTCACTACTTAGGGCTACCCTGATGCGCTATTCTATGTCTATCATCTTATGGGTTTCGACCCCATTCATGTTGAAGTATTGCAACCCATCTTCACTTCCGCAAACATGTCTAAAACACCCCAGAAGGTGATCTACTTTGGCTCTCGGACCTGATGTGTTCTAGCTGCCAGTAATAGTGATGAAGATCCAGCTGAGGGCCGCAACGCTTACTGAATTTGATTGCCCAGGAACAAATATCCTTCAACCCATATCCAAGTAACATACACCACCACAGGGCCACTAATCCCGCTTTTGTGTTATAAGTGGTCGATGTATCTTGGCTCCACCTAGTCTTTCTTCTTAATGCGCCCTGTTTGTTTATCTATATAGTCCTAATTGACTGAACTGTTTGGTCAGTACCAAGTACTAACATCACCATGGATGTCAAGACATCGGTGTTCAACGCTGAAGCCTCAAACAGGGATAACAAACTTCTTCGGTTCACACTTCTCAGAGATGCGCGTTTTTTGGCCAAATTAATCAAGGACCAGTTACACTAAAGGAAACGTATAAAACGAACACTCATAAAATTCAGGAGGCTGACGTGGTGGTTATCCCGAAGCGCGTGGTTGATCGACCAAAAGACAACTACAAAGGACTGAAAAAGAGCTGACATTTCGTAAAACGCGTAAATGTTGTAAAGCAGGAACCCAAAAATCGGCGTACAGAAGCAATCCGCGATACTAAACCTCGCACAGAAGAACACAAATCTGTCATTTTAGTACATGGGACATGGGTGAAGAAATGAGCCGACCGCCTTCTCTTTGAGGGACGGAAGTATGGGACCCACGAGTGACTTAATAATGGTATCTGAAGCCTAAAGATAACACCACACAGGTCTGTATTGTGTCCCAGCGGCCTGGTTACATCCAAACTTGTCAAAACGTAACTACGTATGACTGCTACCCAAATTGGTCTTCGTGGAGGATAACGTTCGCAAACTCCTGCTCAAGACAAACCCCCACGGCGCTTTGGGGCCAAATGAGGTCTATCTAAGTATGCCGAAAGAAGCGTCACTCACACTGATAAGGCAGGGCTACCTGGTGCTTTGCAACTCGCTTGATAAAAGCAACTGCCCCTCTGCCTAGCGGGGGCGACTGTCACGCAAATCAACAAAATCGCTGACCGACGATCATCCGGAAGCTTGAAGCCTAATAGACCCCACTGGTATACCGCGCAAAGTTACTGAAGGCATTTCGAATCGGGCCATATTGAGTCACCGCAGTACAAACAGCCTGATGCACCTAGCGCAGCACGTATTCCTTCCGAAACCTTCTTGCGTTACCAGTATATTGGTACTCATGGGATTCAGGGAGAAATTCTACGCCAAGGCAGCATTACACCTTTGATTCGCTTGTGCATTCCAGGTGAACGAAAGCAACCGAACGACAAAAACAAATCCGAACCGGAAACGCGGGACAAAAGCCTCGGTTCTGTGTATAAATCCGTGAAGATCGTAAAAACATTCCAGGGTTTGTATGTTATGCTGTCCCATAAGGTATACTAAACATGTTATACCCACCGGCACAAGTTTTGAGAGAACCTGCTTCCTTTACTGATAAATAGTAGCCCGGCACTACGAATAATGTCAAATATTTTTGCTTCGTTCCACGTACCTCCTTATTCCTGCTGAGAAAAATGCCCACCAAAGCTATTGATCCAAGGATCATGAAAGAAACGTCCTCCTTACTGGCAAACAATTTACA